TCCCGTGGGACAACAACGCAGGACACCAGCACTGCAAAACGTAGGAAAACTTGACCCAAACCCTATACCAACCTATACAACATATAAGTAGGCCGAAATCTCCTTTCTAAGGAGAGGCCTATATCTAGCAGTGGACTGTTAAAGGCTGTTGATGTGATGTGATGTGACACCATGCTGGCCAGACGGGTTGGTATAAGGTTTGTGTCAAGTTTTCCTTCTCTTGTGAATGAGAATATAATAAGTCAATAACTTGATTTAAAACTGAAAAGCAACTTACTGTCTTAAGACAATTACATCCTCAAGAAGATTTGGCGTTTTGCACAATGTTATATATCGCGCAAACCCCTAAAAATATTGAGAAAATCACTGGCAAATTATACACAATATAAAAATCGACACAGAAACCTGACCAATTACAAAATCGCAATGAATATCGATTCAACCACATAATCGAATAATCGTTTGAGTGATTTTTATCGATACCAACCAACCATATAGCCGGGGTTGCAACACTTCCTTGGTTGCGACAATAGGCTGACTACAGCTAATTACTCAGCTGCAACCGGTTGTGAAATGTAATAACTTCCCTTAGGTTGTCTAATTGGTACCTTTTTGCGGTATCATAGACAATCGGTTGACTCATTTTGACTTGTCTATGTATTTAAGATTATCAACCTTAAGTCCTGTGTTTGTTTCATGGGTTAGCTATTGTTTTCTTCGATTGTAGATTTAATTACAGTTGTAAGGTCGGAAGTCTTTACATAACTAAGGTAGCAAAAAAGCGCACATCCCAACTCATGATCCACTGATCATGAGTTGGGATGTGCGCTGAGATAACCGCTGTGCGCTGGGAGATAACCATTGTTAGGGAAGTATTATCAACATGTGCAATGCGGTCCTTTTGTTCTAGTGTCGTAGGTTCGAATTCCAAACATTGGAAATTATTATTATTATGTTTCCTGTGTCCAGAATAATTATATAGAGTTTTATTACACACATATATATATATATATATATATACTATTATATACTATAACTATATATAAGTTTGTTTATTTAACATTTCACGCATGAACTGTACACAAAGAATACCCAGACTCAGAACAACAATTTGTGGATCAAATTTTAACCCATGTGGAGATCGAACCCACAACACTCAGCGCAGTAAGAAGCGACCGCCTTAACCACTACGCTATTCGTACAATCGTGCCGTCTGTTTTTGTCTTTAACCTTATAAACACGAGAATTTAAACCAATTGAGCGGAATCTCCAGCAGACACAGCTTGTCATCACACTAATATAATAAAGGCGAAAGTTTGTTACTTCTTCACGCTTAAACGGCCAGACCAATTATGATAAAATTTGGTATGGAGGTAACGGATACCGTTCATTAGAACAGAAGCTAATTTTAAAATTCATTCATTCATCAATTTAAATCCCGAAAAAATTAGTGCTCCGCGGGATGAGCTAGGAATTGAAACATATTTGATAAAACAAGGGGCGCGGCCAGACGCCATTTTAAGATAATAACCAACTGTAATATCTTGTAATTGGTTCATTCGTCAGGGATTAAAAGGCTCTGAGTTGTAACATTATCTTACATAATACTCTGATACAAATCGTGCTTAAGCTACGACCGGTTGTGCAACTAGCTACATTATAAATTAATCAGACAATCTTGGGCGAGGTTGGTCTAGACTTTAAATGCCAGTTCATAGTTCATACATTAATCTAGATAATTCTAGATGCATTCAAAATGGCGGCGTAACAGCTTAGGAGATTTCGAAATTGAACCGTCTAGAACACAATCCACATGAAAGTGTATCTGTCTGTTACCTCTTCCGCTGTACCGATTAAGATGAATTTAAAATAGACATTGCTTGAATCCCGGAAAAGTACATAGGATAGTTTTTTTCCCAGAAATCATCCTTAATGGAGATGAAAAGGGGGGTGGAAATTTGTATGGGAGATTAATAACCGCTGAGCCCATTTAGATAAAATTTGATATGGAGTTTCATTCTTGAGGAAGGGAATACACGCGAGCGGAGACATGATCAACTAATGGTAAATGATTACCACCGTCTATGGACATCTACAATTCAAGATAAAGAATCATTTTGAATAAGAGTACGTTTTTTTCTTAAAGGTTTGCAGGGAAATACCGCAGGCGACATTTTTGACCATACTGTAAATCATGTACTTAGATGCACATGATTTTCCATTAAAAAATATTTACTTACATAAGCAATAATTTTAAACAAGATATTGACCAAATGATTACCCACCCGATGGATTTTTAATCAGAGTTTATATGTTCGTTCGGCTTTTTATAAAATACTAGTAAATAGAATTAAAATTATAAATAAGGTCAAAGTATATCTGTTTACCATGGTATAATATGATTATTTGAAAAAACTATAGATTTGAATTAAGAACGCTATGATCTATTTAGCAGTGTGACCCGACTGTTTTTTTTTTTACTGGTTATGTACCGAGGCCTTTTACCCTTGGCCGAGTAACTTTTTAATATTTTTCCTTGGCCTTCGCAGATACGGTCAGGTAAACGTTTACCTCCTAATAAATAATTTAAATATATTAAGTTTCTTTTGTATAACGGGCATTTTGTGTACTTCCTAGTTAAGCAGATACCATCGTAACACTTTTTAAATTATATTAGTTTAATTTTGGAAACCTCGAAATCATTTACAACAAATGACGGGTATTTCCGTTTATGATAACGCGGTACTGGCTTCCTAATAATAATCCTGTTTATATTATTAACGTGAAAGTTTCCAATGCTGGATACTTGTTACTCAATGCCAATATGGTCGAACGGATCCGAGTAAAATTTGGCATGCAAATAGATTATTTTCTGTATTAGAACAATCAAAACAACCAACAAAGAAACGTGAATTAATTTTTATTTTGTAATTTTTATAAAAATACTGTCATGTCTATTTTATTTTCCTAATAACAAACTCTATTTCCACCGTTTTGGGTTGAATTTCAGTAATTAATTTCCTGATGTTTGTTTCACGTTATACTAGGAAATTAATATCACGTTATGGTAGCTACTTAAACCAATACTTAAATCAATTAGTCAAACATAACGAAGTTATTAAAAAAATAATATCGATATCAGTATTATTCATAAAAAAAATAACGGTATTCCATAAACACGCAACAATTATCACAGAACGAACAGATTATCTATGAATTTCACTGTTAAATTTAATCTGTTATGCAGTCACTAGGGTTGGCATTAATTTAAACTCTGTTATTATTTTACATTACTTTTGTTAGTCTTGTTTAAAACACACCTACCGTATTATACTGCATTAGCGATGTGTTTTAGAGAGAGGACGATAGAAACAAAGTCCACGTAGAAAGTAAGAGCTTAAATTAGTTAAGTGTAACGTAAGATTGTGCAAGTACTTATTCAGATAATGATCACACTGCATTTAATATATTATATATAATTCATTGTTTAAAGTGTAAGACTTGCAGGTTTTATATTTTTTGAAAAGAAGGTCATTGTCCTGGAAAAAACTCGTAGAGATTTAAAATTACCAGATTTTTGAGAATAGAATTTATATAATAAAAACTACTGGTAGTACAAGGCAATGCGCTAACATACAACTATGGAGGTAGCAATATGGGCAACAAATATTACTTTTAATTACTTACTTGACACCCCTAGGTACCTATTACCAACTGGTCTGTTACCAACTGTTACATAAGCGTCATACTTTTCTCACTCTACATCGCGCACGCAACGTCTGTTTTAATTTTCTAGCGGTTTTTGTTTTATTTTATTTTTTTAGTTTCTTCAACATGCAACCATAAACTTTTATGTCATAAATAAACAAACGACGCGGTCATTTGATACATAGATATTATGGTATTTTATATATTTATGACTGACTATTAAATTTTTCATTTTTTATATTTCTTTCACTACTACTTACCATAGACCAAAATAATAAGCTTTATTTTAAGTATCACTAATAAGGTTCAAATTTAAAAATTAGGTTTAAATTTGAATTTATTTAAAAGTTTTAAAGGTAATATTCATTAATTTAATAAATTATTCATGAATTATTATAATTTTAATAATTACTTGCTTTCTAATACATAATATAAGTAAAAGTACGTGTTTATATCAAAATTCTTTTATTCACAGTTACGTATTGCGTTATGAAATGAATTAACAAGTATCATTAATTCCACCAAAAAAAAACCTTGAGAATCTGTTTTTTCGACTATTTCAAAAAGTTTTGAAAACTAAACAATGGAATTAGATAGCTCTCTCAAAACTTATGACAATGGATTTCTACTGTCTATTATCTAAATTAAAATATAGAAAGAGATTTGAGAATTCCTTTGTTCAAATTTGTTAATTTCACACAATAATTCATCCAACTTAAGTAGAATCAATAAAAAAATATTAAGAACCTAATACCTGTTACATGTATTATTTATATAGATATTTGGAAGTAGACAGGGCCCAATACGTAAGCATTGGAATTTCAAATAAGTGTTCTTTTTTCATTACTTTTCAATTTTTTTAAATTAAAAAAAAACTTTTTACTGTTTAGAAAGTAATAGTGCAACGTTGCGTTGAATTAAGTCTTTAAAGTTATATTTAACTAGAATGTTCGATTTCCATTCACTTGTGTATATAGTCTACATTATATTACATAGAGATACATTTTCGATGGTGCAAAAAGCCCGCAACTATGACTGCAAGATTCCTAAGTTTAAAAAAAAAAACTTGTTTTAACATAAGATTCTTAGGTGTTTTCGAAAATCTCATAAATCTAATATTTTATTTGACAAAATACTTCTCTCTGAATGAAGTAAATCACTTTTTAAAAGCACTGGCTCAAAATTATATGGCCCATCCTAGAAGTATCCACGAACATTCATACACCAAACCTCCTTGGACAAAAATCCTTGCGCTAAAATATGTCATCCCGATAACGTTTTTAGACACTGACCTCTTAAAACATCTGCTGGGATCAATCTTCTGAAAGTCTTCGGCCTCTCCTCTTCCTTCTTCTCCTCAGCGGCAAAAGCAAGAGCGAAAATAGCGAACGCGACAAAGTATTTCATTTTGAGCACCTCACGAATGCCTTCCGAAAATAAAAATAAAAGTTTGAATTACGCGCGTTTTTTGACAGGTCAGCGTGGTTGCCGCACCGAGACTGAGTCAAATGTTTCAGTTTCCCGCCCTTTTATGGCAGCTGTCAAGCGGGGAGTGAACGGCAAGATGGCCGGGGATTTTTTTTTTCTCATACGTCTCAGGGTTGGCTTTTGTTGCGAAATTTTTATTATTTTTATGATGTTATCAACACGATAGACTTATGACCGATACTTAAATGACACATACATCCTTATTTTATCATATTCCTTGTAGCGCATTCGAAATTAAAAAGATAAATTTCCTTTTTAATACAAAAGCATTTTAGTTTGTCTGCGTTATCTGATCTACTCATTCTAAACAATTATTGTAATTGTTTCATCAGTTTACTCGATTTAAAAGATGATTAAAAAACCATTAAGTATTAAACCGTTTATAACAAAGAATATTGCATCAAGATTTACGAAAACAGCGTATTCCAACCTCAAAGATCGACTCATTTTTACCTCTTTTTTAAAAAGTCAACTGCCTCACTAGAAATATATCCGGTGTCGCGAGGAACTTCACGAACATACATGAAACGGAGTCTAAGAACACCCAGACTCAGAACAACAATTGGTCTACCACACAAAATGTTGTCCTATATGGGGATCGTACCCACAACACTCAGCGCAGTAGAAAGCGGCGAGGTGACTGTTTATAATACTACGCCATACGTGCAATCGAATGACAATTTGGCCCGTTGGCTCATTTGACCCCATTTCATTAGAAAATGATCAGTAAATAATTTTAGTCAGTTAATCTATAATCCCAACCATATCAATAACGAATTCTGATACACAATGTCACAATGGCACAAGCATCCTCTGTCGTTTTAAATTCAGTTCATTGAACAAGAAAAAGTAATTATTTATATCAATAATGGTTCATTTGAAAACTTTTTTTCTAAAGAATACTTGCAACTTTAAACTGATCGGGTAAGCCGTGAGTTTCATGCCACCCTAAGTATTGCCATAGGTGGACGGGACGAATTTTCCCCTCCATCCGCCGCAGAGGCCAACTGCGAGGAGGTGCCGTCCGCTTGTGAGAGATAGGCGAGAAATAAAATACTAATTTCTACTCTATGCGTACCCTAGGAGGTACTCTAAAATCTTACATTTTATTTGACAACTTTTTTGCCGTTATTAATTATCCATGCTTAGCTTAGAGGCTTATCACTAGGATAAGCCTCTAAGCTAAGCCGCGAACTGACATACAAGGCAAAACTATAAGGGTTTCCAGTCCTACTGCGTAACTAAAAAACTGATTTTAGAGAAAACCAACTAAACCGTGGAATACTATCAGGGTTGAAATTATAATGACAAAGTTTATTAATTCTTCAGTCTTTTACTTCTAGATCATTATTAACAATAAAAATATCTATAAACGATAAACTTTATATTTACTCACGTGTCTGTGTGAAACACAGGGATATACCTGACACCTTCGAAGGTCGCTTCACCCCTATGATAACGGAGTCCTGTCGGGTTCGAAACTAGTTGGTTTATCCTTTATAAATATGAACACCACGAAAAAAATTTAATGTTAGTTTAATGAAAAATTAAAGAAGTAAAAAGAGTTAATATTTATCCAAGACATGACACAAAATGAAGCTATCTGTTAAATTATTATACAATCCAAGAAACAATACAATTAAAAACAAGTTTATTTTGTAAATTTTGAAAAAAATAATAATACAATTACTCATCATCATCATCAGCCTATCGCAGTCCACTGCTGGTGACAGGCCGCTCTCACTGCACGCCACTTCGATCGATTCAGAGTCGAGTTAATCAAAACATTCAAAATGACCACAATTAAATAAAATTTCATGACATGACTATTAATTAATTAAAATATAATTTAATATACTTAACTAAATTGTGTTTCTAATTAAATTTCTATTTAATTTCTAATAATTAATTAAATTAATGTGATTTTGATATTTTTTCTCCAGCTTCGCAACGGTGACGTTGACACCAGTGAAGTGTTAAAATATTATGTCCATAATTGTGTTTTGTTAGACCTTAAATAGCCTGATGTCCTTACAAAGACTTCAATTATTGTCCTCAGGGCGCTAATTTCCAAACAAATGGCCTATATTAGGTAGGCTTAAAATAGTGATAATCATAAAATTAAAGTTTTCTTTCAGAATAAATCTTTGCCTACAACGAAAAACATACTTCAACACTATTTCACGAAGACATCGGGCGACGGGGTTCAAATCCCACCCAGGACATTTATTTGTGTGATGAGCACGATCGTTTGTTCTGTGTCTAATTTCACTATAATATGTATGTACATATGTATGTATTTAGAAATATATAAGTATATTTATCAGCGGTCTGGTTACCATAGTACTGGCTTTGCCTAGTTTGGGATCAGATCGCCGTGTGTGGGATGTGTAGGGTTATTTTTATTATTACCTTCCTTGACTGATTCTGCATCATACAACGAAGGTTCTTGCACCGATTAGTATAGTATAACTTTATAACATCAAACTTTGGGCCTCCAGTCTGCCACGCATGATCATTCGCCTGGATAGTTCTTTTGTATTTGAGGGCTATAACACCCATTCCTCTGTACCTTTATAAACAGCCTTTACTAGTCCGCTGCTGGACATAGGCCTTTCGTTAGAAAGGAGGTTTTGACCTACTGTACTACACCAGACGGGTTAGTATAGCGTTTGTTTCAAGTTTTCCTTCTTTTTGCAGTGCTGTTTTCCTGCGTAGTTTGCTCCTTTAGTCGGCTTCTACAACACACACGGGATGAACAGAGGTGGTGACACTGCGTATTCTTAATCCCTCTCCACATGGATGTGAACCGCACCTTCGTTAGTAGCACTTATTCGTATCTATGAAACATATACAGCTACACTTACGTAATGTATACCTTTATATATCTTTAAAAGATAATGAAATAATACAGGTGTGCCACAGGGATCGCATCTGGCGCCACAGTTACATAAATACGAACACAGGCCGAGTTTTATTGGTGTAGGAGTTGTTTACCGAGAAAATATCATAATCTTCCTCATTCTTTAATCCTAGATTTTATTGAATGAGTCATATTGTGTAATAAAATTACGCCTACCTGTAAACGCTTACAGCGAAAGACGCGAACACTCACACATCGGTATCAAAAAAGAAATCAGATTAATAATATAAATACGTATATTGTCTAAGTTTTGGCTATTGTGTTTCTATTGTAACGTTTTGAAATCTACCTGCAAGGCTAAAATTAGGCTTGTGTGATTATATTGTATGAATGATTGGTGTTGAATACATACTAAAGAATGCTTTTCGATCGGTTATCGACCGTTTTGAATGTCTTGTTTCATTACATTGACCAGTATGGCTTGAATTATCATTTTAGAGCGCAGGTAACCTGACAGGTCAAAATATATACTGGTCCCCTCAAGTTTTACATTATCCCATCAGTCCCATCAGTTTTTACTTTATAGAAATAATGAGTTTAGTTTTCTATATTTCTTTTCATCATCATCAATCATCAACAGCCTTTAATAGTCAATGCAGTTATTTATATCCATGAATACGTAATTAGAATTGGTCTGAGTATTTAGAATAGAACGTTGTTTATTGTACAGCAAATAAAAGAACTATGGAACTTAAGTTTTTAACTAAGGTACAATAGACGGTCTTATCACTAAAAGTGATCTCTACCAGACAACCTTTAGGTGGATTTCGGAACAGGGATTGAATGATAGCACAGATAGCGCGGTGACCTAGCCTCTTCGTACAGAATGCTTAGCTCGATCCCCACATGGAACAGCACTTTGTGTGATCTACAAATTGTTGGTGCCCCCTTACCTCCCCTACCTCACTTAATCGGTAAAAAGCAATGAAGGACTTCGCTTTACATCTATTTTTTGTGAGGACAGGGCATCATTCCGATCGAGACGGCCCATTTGTGCTGAAGCAAAGTTTCTTTTTTAAGCCAATTAGTCGTTCCACGCGCTTCACACATAAACGCACTACGTTATCTTTTATAACACACATAAACACTCACATATGCACAATCACTTACACTCTATACATGAACTACACACAAACACACGTACCTTAGATCTCAATTATTATTGATATTAGAATTCCTATTTTCTTATTCGGTGCAGAAACACTGTTTTTAAATTATTCCTATTTGATATTTGTCAGCCGTAGGGTGGGCCTGGAGATTTGCCATACAGGTGTCGAGCTTAGTATAGACTCCAGATCTCACTAAGGAACTTTATATTTTTTATTTTAATATATGTAATTACGATAATCTGTAACCTACTGTACCTTGAGAGAGAAATAAATTTATTATTATATTATTATTTTGTATAGCAGACTAGTTTTTGCCCGCAACTTCTGGTCGACATGAGACATCGTAGAGGAAACATTTTTAAGAATAATTTGGGCAAACTTTTAATAAAGAGTATTTAATGTGAGTTTGAAAACCGTACCAATAAAAATTTGCAACCTTAGGTGTGGAATTTCCTAAATCCTTTCCTAGTGCACACCTACGTCACCTAAGGAACATTTGTGCAAAATTTATCATCCCTATTCATCCCGTGGGTGTCGTAAGAGCCGACTAAGGGAACAAACTGCACAGGACAACAGCATTGCAAAAAGAAGGAAACTTGAAACAAACCCTATACCAACCCGTCTGGCCAGCGATGTATAGTAGGCCAAAACCTCCTTTCTAAGGAGAGGCCTATGTCTAGCAGTGGACTATTATAGGCGGTTGATGATTTATGATGATGAATCAATTAATTTACATTGGTAAACATAGGTCTTTCCCGACGTGTACCATAGCCTTGGTCTTTAGACATCCGCATCGTTTAACTGCTTCTAGTCGTCTTCCCTGTAATAATAGGCTTTAAGGACTTAAATAAATAAATGAAAACCCAGATAGTAACCTTTTATCACGG